CTGAAAGTCATTTCTCAATAAACAAAACAATATTACAAACTAAATCATTTTTCTTATGTGATGAAAAAGAAACCTCATGATGCATGTTATCAATGAACTTTGGAAGTTAGCATGAATTAATTCAAATATCAATATACTATCTGTATTTTAAATGTTCACAAAATCAAGAGAAGAGATACTTTATTTGCTTAGGACACATAGTGCCAGGGACAACCTCAAGGAAACGCATTTACTGACACTGAACTGGGAACTTGCCAATATATACCAGCAAGTTCCCCAGCTGTACAGCAACCCAAGAAAAACATTTACTCCTGCTATGATGTGAATGTTTGTGTCCCCACCAAATTCATAAGTTGAAATCCTAATGCCCATTGTGATAGTGGGGACTTGGCTTAACATCATGAGCGTGGAACCCTCATGAATGGAATTAATACTTTTATAAAAAGACCCCAGAACTCCCCAGCCCCTCCCACCATGTGAGGACACTGCAAGAAGTTAGCTGTCTGCAATCTGGAAGAGCGCCTTCTTCACCAGAACTCAAACATGTGAGCAGCCTGATCTTGAGCTTCCAGCCCCTGAGCTATGATGAATAGATGTCTTTTGTTTGTAAGCTACCCAGACTATGCTATTTCATTATAGCAGCCCGAATGGACTAAGATACCTTCCTTCAACACACCCAAATCGAACTCAAAGGTTTACAAAGGGAATTGTGCTAAAAATAAATAAAACAAAAGTCACGAAAAGATTTTTTTTTTGGAGACGGAAATAAAAAAAAGATTATTCTTGTTGAACACATGTTTCTGAAGCAGTGTGGATGCAAAAAAGCCATTCTAAAATTGGAGTAATGTCTATACAAACAAAACAAGAAGGTTCTAATACTTGAGCTTAGTGCACAGTTGAATTAGGAGCAGGGCATATTCTGAGTGGCTTTTCTGAAAGGCTTTGTTTACATCAATGGAAATTGATATTTTTTCCATAGGTGAGAGTAGTCATCTATAGGAATCACATTCTTTCCACTGTATAAATGCTGACTCATATTTTATGACCTTACTAATATGGGGAGACCACAACTTTAGAGCATTATTCTAAGATCTGTATCCAGGCAATTAGAGCTTTAAAAAATTCCAATCTTCGGAATGTGAAGACAAATCTGCAGGTCAATGTTTCACAAACTATGAGTCATACTTGTTTATAGGTCTTGAAATCAGTGGGTAATAGAATTTTTAAAATGAAAAAGATAGAAAAGAAAGATCAAAATTATCAGAGAACATCTAAAGTAGCAAAGAAAGTTTTAGTTCATGAAACTTTACTTCAGTAGGTATTAGGGAATGATATAAAATGTTTTCTTACTGGGTTCCCACCAAAATCATTTGAACCTGGAGGACATTATGCTAAGAGAAATAAGCCGGATACAGAAAGACAAATATTTGATGATCTTACTAATGTGCAGAATCTAAAAAAGTCAAATTTATGGAAGGGAGTAGAACAGGCAGGAAAAATGGGAAGATACTGGTCAAAGGATATAAACTTTCAGTTATGAAATGGGAATCTAATGTACAGCATAGTGATTATAGTTAATAATACTACATTATATACTTGCAATTTGCTAAGAGAGTAGATCTTCAATGTACTCACCACACACACACACACACACAAAAGTAACTATGTGAGGTGATGGATGTGTTAATTGATTGTGGTAATCATTTCACAGTGAATATATTGAATCATCACACTATATACCACCTTTAAAAAATCACATTGTACCACCTAAATATGTACGCTTTTTAATTTGCCAACCATACCTCAAAAAATCTGGTAAAGTAACTTTAAAAAATCATGCACAGGTCTCTAGACCCACCTTTCTCAGGGTTCTGAATATGAAAACTAAAATAAAAATTTTCCTTATGGTGAACACATATTATCCATTTAACCCTTTCGGCATCTGCTTTTTTTCCTTTTATCACTGATTACTTCAAGTAATGCACAAATATGTATTCACCAGTCAGTAACTACTATTCTAAATAGAAATAAATAGTGTGGAATGTTTTACAAAATTTGATGTTGCAAGTTGGAAAATACTTCCATGGAAAGATAACCCACTCAGTTTTCAAGGTGACTTGAAATTCAAGCTTAGTCAGAGTTTGAATTTTACAAGTTCATTCCACTGTCAATGACTAAGAACACCTTAAAATTAATCATAACTTGAAGGGAAAAATACAAGGAGAAGGTGAAGTATATTGAATATTCCCTAAATTACAGAATTTATTTTGAATTCATCTTCAAAAGGCAATGTTGTTCAACATGGAATAAAAAAGGTGTTTGAATCATGTGAGCAATGTTCATTTTGGACCACAGAACTTCTTAACTAAAAACAAAATCAAATTACAAGAATGTATTAAAGTATCTGTGCATCACTATATTAACCTTTCAATACACTACTTTGGAAGTATTGTCTGTGCTCATATGTGTACACACCAAAATCTTTTTAGAGATTTTGTCTCCCAAATTTTCTATGTCCTCTACATTTTTGCAATCAACCTATTTCAAAAATTCAGTAAAAAAGACTGGCATTCTGGCATTCTTTAATGCTAATGCTTTTAATGAGAATAGGGTAGACATAATATCAAAACTATTTATTTCCCTTTGTTAAAGCAAACATTAGTGTCCTGGGTTAACTTATCTTTCTAAGTTAATTATTTTCCCAGTTTTAGTACCTACACTAAAAGTTACGCATAAATTTAACTGAATTTGGTAAGACTTTTTAAATACAGATAAAAATTGTCCTCTGTGGACTCCACATGTTTTTATAAGATGAATGAATGTAGTCACATACTGGATTCCTTTGTTCTTTCTTTCCTGTATTTTTTTTAATAAACACTTTTTAAATAAGAGTATAAGAAACAACTTTTTAAAATGTGTCTCTTTATTTAACTTTTCTCAAACTTCAGCAATGATAACTGATCTTAGTTTCCACTATGTGTATAGGAAAAAAAGGAAGTATTTGAAACACTAAGTTATTTGCATTGGAATATATAAGAGTGAGGCTGTATAAATGTTGAGATTTCATATGAGTTTCCCTTAATTTGCACAGAATCTTGGCTAAATTGCCAAAAATATCTAAAGTCCAACTTTATCATATGTAAGCAAATCTATTAAGTAAATTAGTTATTGCATATTAGAGTCTTTTGTTCTTTTATTTTTTAATAAACACAGTTGAAATTAAAATGGAGTCTTTTGGAGTCCTAGATTAGACCAAATTAAATCAGTAAATGTTTATTGATCTCTATGTTTATGATTCTATTCTTTCCATCATGATGGTTCCTGTTACATAGAAAACCACCAGGAAGCTGGATTTGTTCAGAGAATGCCAGGAGGGAGGCCTTCACAGTTATGTTTTTATGAGTTTAGTCATTAGAAAAGAATCATTAATCACAACAGAATCAAGTGGGGAGTTTTTCAACAGTGGTAAATGTTTGTACGCGTATTTGTTTTATGTGCTATTCAGGTCTCTCCAGACATTTTCTATTTGCTCTAAATCTCCCCAGGTGAACTTATACTGGGAGTAGTGAAAAAATATGGTTGATCAATCATATTGACTCTGAAAATTCAAGTAAAAAGCAAAACAAAGCAAGACAGAAAAAGTAAGTGCCCCGCTATTTCACAATAGCTTTTTATTTCAATAATTCAGATAAACCTCTGATGTGACAGTCCCTATGTCTTCCTTGAATCCTTTTCATTAATAATCCATATAATCATACCATATAGAAACACAAAGCCTATTTTATGGAAAGATGTATATCCTTTGGCAGGAGACACTGTGCACTGTTTCCAAGGGCCACAGTGCTGAACTCAACAAACATTTCTGAAGCACCTATTATATTACAGATAATGTCCTTTATGCTAGAGATAGAACAGGCGTGGCCTCTGCCCTCAAAAAGCTGACACCCCAAAGGGAAAATGAGATGCATACAAATAATACAAGTTAAGAACCGTGTCAGGTGTATACATAAGGCATCATGAGTGAACACAGTGTAGGTAGAAATCAAAGCCAACAGTCACGCAGTTGACCGTTCAGTCATGAACTTCTTCTCCCAGTAAGTGGCACATCTGTATGAGTGCTCAGTGTATGTTAGTTTTCTCTCTGTCTTCTACTTCTAAGCAGCTCTTCATAAAATAAAAACAACTAGCACAAGGAACATCTAAAGGAATTTGGTGAAAACCTTTCCTGTCTATTAGTCCCATTTCATGCCTGATTTTTCTTCATTCATAACATCTCACTTTGCATTCTCGAATTTCTCTGTACCATATTACTAATCAAATAATATTCCAAGGTTGGTAAAGTTTGTTCAAATAAAGAACAATATTACCTAAGCCCAGTTTATCATACCACCATGATGTCAAATTTAAAAATTACCCTACTCAGCCAGGCCAGTCTGTCCTTGGTTGATAAATACATCTTACCATTCCTCTTTATACTCACCCCTCATTTTTTGTTTTGTTTTGTTCTGAAAATTTGCATAAATTGAGCAAGATCACTTTGAGATCTTGATTGAGGCAGTTAAATATATCTTTAAAGTCCTAATTACATTAATATACTCTTATTACTAATAGTAAAAGGAATTTATATATCCACAAAAATCAAGAGAGCAGATAGCCTTATGTTCATAAAATAAACATTCTTTGTTCTTAAACATAAAATTTTCACTTAGAAGAATATTCATTGTTCTATTAAGTAGGAACTAGAATTTGTAAGGGAGAGAAGACTGTGGTGGTCAAAACCAGCCTCAACCACCTTTCCTCCTTACCTACCCTGTACCTTCTCAGCAAGTTTCCAAGTCTCCTGTATTCAATCAGCCCTCAGGGCAGCCACAAAAGAATCTCAAAGTCTGAATCCAAACATCAACAAGAATGCATGACATCCAATAAGACAAAGGCACCTTTAGCTGTGAAAATCACAACAGTTTTGACAGCAAACTAGATTTCAGGTAGATTTCACTAACCTGAGGAAATGTCAGTTTGGCTCATCTTGGTCTGCGTGATGTTGATGTGAACGCCAACTTTGCTTTCCGTGAGGTCAATCTCCACATTGCCCAAATTGTCCGCAAAGTGACTGAAGAGCAGGAGGCCATTTGGGTTCCAAGTCCTGAACTGGAAACTGATCGAAAACAGGTCCTGGTTGAGCCTTCCAGGCACCTCCAGGTAACTGGTAGCATTGAAAAAGACAGGCACTGTGTAGGGCTCCACACACGAGAAACTCAGATTTCCCTATAAAACAGAAGGGCATGCTTTGAGGCAAATGCAGAATTAAAAGAGGTATCCACGTAAGGCAGCAGACAAAGCTAAAGACCTACACGTGCCAATGCAGAGTTTAAGCTTGTGTGAAACTCTGACATGCAGGAGTGTGATGGGGATTCTGTCGGGTATCTTGGCCGAATCTATTCGGAGGGGGCACCTAACAGGTGCAGCAATTGGCCATCAAGTTGAACGCATAAAAAGCACCATCCATCATGGAATTTACAGACTGACAGCCTGATGTGGGCTGATCATGGATAGGACGTGTCCCTGTGTTATGGGCACAAGTGTGGACCACCAGACTTCTTGAAGACAGTAAAGAGCTGCTGCTTCCACACAAGTGCCATTCCTGACGATGCATCTGCCAGGGAGGAGAGGCCACTGGCCTTTTCTGGATGACCTACGTCAAATGTTTATTAATGTATTACTAGTCTCAGTGGGAAGTATGGCCATTTGATTGTCACTTATTATAAACTGATATTATGGGACAAATATTCTTGGGTTTTATCTCCATGCTTAATATCAACACAGTTATGTTTATTTCAGGTTATTTTGTTATCCAACTCAAAAGCCCATTTAAATTTCCATGAAGTATGCATATACTATAATGCATTAATGCTTCTTGAAATAGTGGTATAAACATACAAAATGAAAAAAAAAATACTTGTAGTAATTACAGTGTCCTCCTTCCCTCTCACACTCCCTCTATTTGGCGCAAAGAAATTTGATTCACCATTTAGTTATACTGAATTTTATATTCCAGCATTGGGTACCATTCTTTTAAAGATCTAAAAATCTACATCTGCTTTCGGCTTATTTTATCCCACCATAATATTTTGTGGAATATAATTTGCTGATATTTTCATCTGGTTCTTCAATTTTCTTTTTTTAACAACACATATATCAATCCCTAGATGTTTTATTCTTCCATTTTGGTACACTGACCATTACATCTAAGGCAGACTGCCCCTCTGCATTAATATTCAAATTCAATTTGTGCTATACCTTCATAGATGATTATTTTTAAGTGCCTACTTTTACAGATGAAAATAACTGACTACTCATAATGACTGCAGGGCTTTAACTGACCACATGCCCATGTTGTAGAGACTGTCTCCCAGCAAAATTAAAGGTCCTTCCTGAGGTGGTGCTGACTCTGGAGTCAGTGTATAAGGAAGTGCTGGAGGAGGTCATGAGGCAGACATGGCTGCCAGCTGACCCCCAAGCTGGACTCAGCAGCGGGAGGCTCCCCACCTCCTCCACCGCCATTGGAAGTGTGTTCTGCTTGCCTTTGCTGTTCCAGGAACTGCTCCCAGGATACAGCCTTGAGGAAGAAATGTGGTCCTGGAGCTGTGTAGAGTGGGTTTTTGACTAAAGCTAGTCAAGACCTCTACATAAATGCTAGAAATTCTGGCAGGAGCATACAGAAATCTACCCATCTTGAAGCCACCCAAGACAAGCCTCATAAGTAAGTTTCCTTGCTTATTAAACCTGCCACCTACCAATCTGGAGTGGTCTGCATCTTTCTCTGGTCTCCCCTTACCATCTGTATATAGGGGCTGATTTCAGATTACATCCGGGGAGCTCCTGAAATTTGCAAACCAACATGGGATAATGTGTATGTTTATGGAGAGGGGTGCAGGATGAGTGTCCAGTCAATTTCAATGAAATATTAGCACCTGACAACTTTGAGAACAAATTCCCTACATAAATACTTGCCTTTGTAGGGTTGCCTAAAAAATGTCCTATTTCTCTTTATTCTGTCCAAAATTTTAATATATATGTATATCTTTGTTTAAAAGTTTATTCTAAATCTGCTCATTCTATTTTAACAAATATAATTATAGATGATGTATGCTTTACTAAATATCTTTGCTATTCAATATAAAATAGCATTTATGACCCCATATACTTTGCAGATAAAGTAGTTTTTGGAATTTGTCTCCATACCGAAATTCTCTGTAGTTTGGGTACCTAATGAGTACATGTCAGGATCACCTGGGAAACTGGGCACAAATAACACTTTACCTCTTCCTAAAGGTGCAAGTATTTGATGATTTGGATTCTGTACCTTTTTATCCTAAGCAACAATTTCTGAAAACACAAAAGGACCCTGGTGCCATTTTATCCAAAGCTTAAAACAGCATGTATATTGATATTGTTCTAGATAAGAAATAACACATGATGGAAGGAGACTGTGACCTCGGGGGTCATTACTGTGAATCCACAATATGTTTGTCACTCACATTCAGTCACCTGCAAAGTTATTTTAGCAGGTAAAATCTGTTTTCTAATCCACAAAATGTTTATGACGATCTCTCTCTGCAGTACTGTTCTCACATCATCAATAATATAACATGCCTCACACACTGTTACCTGTGTTGCCTGTGAATGGAACTATGTTTTTCCCATCAGTCAAATTAGGAGATAATTTCATCAAAGTTGTCTTTCATTCTTAATATAAATGCAGTATTATTTATTTTTTTAGAGGTATAAACTTTTCTTTGAGGTATCATTGATATATACTTTTATGAAGGTTTCACATAAAAAACAATGTGGTTATTACATTCACCCTTATTATTGAGTCCCCCCCACATACCCCATTGCAGTCACTGTCCATCAGTGTAGTAAGATGCCACAGAGTTCCTATTTGTCTTCTCTGAGCTACACTATCTTCTCTGTGACCCCACACACAGCATGTGCACCAATCATGATACCCCACAATCCCCTTCTCCCTCCCTCCCCACCCACCCTCCCCCACCCCTCCCCTTTGGTAACCACTAGTCCCTTCTTGGAGTCTGTGAGTCTGCTGCTATTTTGTTCCTTCAGTTTTGCTTCATTGCTATACTCCACAAATGAGGGAAATCATTTGGTACTTGTCTTTCTCGGCCTGGCTTATTTCACTAAGCATTATACCCTCTAGCTCCATCCATGTTGTTGCAAATGGTAGGATTTGTTTCTTTCTTATGGATGAGTAGTATTCCATTGTGTCTATGTACCACCTGTTCTTTATCCATTCATCTACTGATGGACACTTAGGTTGCTTCTATAACTTGGCTACTATTTAGTGCTCCAATAAACATAGGAGTGCATATGTCTTTTTGAATCTGGCACCTTGTTTTCTTTGGGTAAATTCCTAGGAGTGGAATTCCCGGGTCAAATGATATTTTTATTTGTAGATTTTTGAGGAACCTCCATATTTCTTTCCACAGTGGTTGAACTAGTTTACATTCCCACCAGCAGTGTAGGGTGGTTCCCTTTTCTCTGCATCTTTGCCAGCATTTGCTGCTCCTAGTCTTTTCTATGTTGGCCATCCTAACTGGTATGAGGTGATATCTTATTGTGGTTTTAATTTGCATTTCCCTGATAATTAGCGATGTGGAGCATCTTTCATGTGCCTATTGGCCAAATTCATTATTATTTAAAAAAAATCATTATCAATGAAAAATTCTACATGAAATTACTGTTTTATAGTCTCTTATACCCACCCTGAACTCTATTTATTCATTAGGGGATTTCCATTTGTCCAATCATTTTGTGAAAACCTGAGGCTCAAATGTGGGGCAACAAGGCCTTCAGGGCTCTTTTAGCCCACAATGCAAACATTCATTATATTATCTCCTGTTCAGTGGCCTTCAAAGGTATGGGTCTCTGGAACCCCAGGCTCTCCCAAGTAACACTTCTGAGTTGAAGGAGCTCCTATTCTTGCAGAACCATAACAAACACACATACTAAATTTTTAAGTTGGTATCTTTCAGTGATCCTAAGCAGTGTCATGGGGAAGATGTGCTAGAGCATGCTTCAATTTTTGTCTCCTTCCTGAAATATTTAACCTGGGAACACCTTACACCAGAATCAGAAGATGACACTGAGCTTGTGGCATAGCTTTCTCTCCCCAATGGCAATCAGTCTGTATTTAACTGTCGAATATTTAGTATGATAGAGCTTTGACAAAAAGTCTGTTTATTTACATATTTGAATGAATTATCTTTGGAAGCATGGAAGTAAATATAATAAAGTTCCTGATTTTAATGCTTTTAAAATATTAAATTAAATCATAAATAAGACATGGAAAGCTGTATGTGCTCAGACATTTGGCAACATGATGCTGTCAATTTAAGGGCTGCTGAACTGCCAGAAACATACACCGAAGTATGCCTGTTCCTCTGTTATGGGGGATCCAGCAACTGCCGCATCTGCACAGCATTTATCATCAATTATCTATTCCTAGAGTATACCCTGTATCTCCACATTTGCAGGTAACTTTAAAATTAGTTTCATACACTTGAGCCCAACACAAGCATGATGGACAATGCTATGATGCTGTTGTTATTCAATATTCCATTGAAAACAAAATGTCTTTCCACTTTTCTATGAGCCAACATTTTGGTGGTGAAAAATCTTACCACATTTGAGGGTTCCAGTTTCTTCCTTCTCGCAAGGTCAGTTATGTTGATGCCATTGTAGTTAATACTTTCCATGCAGCCTTTGAAATTCTTGCTACTGCTGGAACTTGGCTTACCAGAGAAAGGTATGCCCCCAAAGGTTATCTTGGAAAACAAAATAAAATGTAAACATTCACACTGCATTCGACTTAAAAAAAAACAGCATTCACAATGAGTTAGACAAACTGTCACTACAGCCAAGGTCAATTATCTTTACCTCAACCAATACATGCAGATGTTTTTTCTGCCTTCAAAATCTACTGATTGTTAAATTATGTTATTATTTAAGTACACATTAGTGACATTAATTCTGGCAATTAGATTATAAACTGAACAAAAAAACTGTAACAATGCATTTTTGTTACCCAAAAGACATTTTATATATATTTTTCTGATACTATTTTAAAAGGTTTTATGCAGCAACTTCGTTTACTAAGTAATATTAAAAACACATATTTATGTTTATCATTCAAAGACATACTATCAGTAAATGCTTCTAAGGATCTAGAGATATCTAGTTGATAAAACTAGAGCCAAAGGCAAGAAATACTGTATTTCTTATTGTAGATTTCTTATAGTTCAATGACTATTATAGACATAAATTCATTGGACTTATTTTGAATACAGAAAATAGCTCAAAAAGTTTAATTACTACATTGATTAGGTACATCTTAGGACTTGGGGGCTATAACTGGAGAAGTACAGGCTTAAACTACAGGCTCCCTCTTGTGATTCTCTGGCTACTATTGACTATAAAAAGAGAGTATATTTTTTCCCATAACTTTGGTCAAATTACAGTTTTATAGCATCAGTTTTGCATAATACAAAATGATACTTAATAAACATATATTGCCAATAATGATGTTTACTGCATTGAGTGAATTAGTAGCGAATGCATCTAACTACTCATTGTAGCTGCAATACCAAGATATGTAATCCAGATTTGAGATATGTATATATATCTTCTAATTATTATTCAGTGTAATGATTATCAATATTTCTTACAGGCTTTTGAAAATTGAGGCAATGGTTAAGACATTTTAAATATTAAGGCTTCATATCTGAACCATAAAGCAAAGTTCTCTGTGATCTAGGAGGCCATTAGCAAATTATGTTATTGTATTTAGCATCATGGCATTTTAAATGCTTAATTAGTTTTAAGGAAAAAATGAACAAACTAATGATCGTTTATGGGACAATACAAAAAATGAAAGACCTCACTTAAACTCACATTAATTATTAATGGTTAAGTGAATATGTGTTATTTACTATAGAATCTAATTATAGGAAAAAAATGGGAAAAGTGAGAATAAATATATTAAAAAGAATTAGGAAAGTACCAAAAGCAAAATATAAAGTCATCTAAAACAGTCGAATTATTAGGGAAATATTTTTAAATGGTACTGAACTTACAAGGTACCAAAAAGATATACCGAATATCAAAGATAAGAATTCTTGATACTTAAATGGAATGTTGTATTTTCTGTTTGCAGTTTATCAATTCTTCCCCAATAAAATTCACACTTAATGACATGCAGTGTCACATCTGGAATAGTACAAATGCTAGTGTAAACTGTTTACTTCTTCTTAGCGTGCAGAGCTTCTTTACTTTGGACCTTTCGTTTTCCTTTCAGATGCCATTTGAGCCCAGAGCTACCCACCTACAGACTCCTTTTACATGGAAGAGAATAAACAGCCATCTATTACATGCAGTCTAATTAACCATAACTGATACAGATGGCCATTTCTATTACTTCCGGTTGCCTCCTCATATAAGGCTACGAGAGATGTGCTGTTATATTCATTTTACCAAAGGGGGATTTGATTTGTCTACTGCCACACAATCAGTAAGGAGCAAAAAGGATGCAAACCCAGGCCCTTTTGCTCCAATTTGAGCCCATGCAACTGAGTGTCTCAAAATCCTAGCTGGATTTTCTCCGAATCCTAACCAGGTTCTGCATTTCTACCTCCCAAGGAGAGCAGTACTGATTCGGCAGCAGCACAGCCTCCAGAGGCGGCGTGTCCTGGAATCTATCTGGAGGAGAGCGGCCAGGCCATCATCAGCATGCTGTTCCTGCCCTTTGTCTCGCTGGCTGAGAGCGGGCAGAAGGAAGTCAAAGGCATCCGTACACAACTAGCACCCCCCTCAGGTCTCCTGCGGTTAGCGGCTGGACTACAAATGGTGATTGGCTCACTTTGTAGTATAAATGGGCTACAGAGAGGTGACTGACATGAGCCTGTAGGCCATCATCCAGAAAAAAGGCCCACGCCGAGTTATCTCACAGGAGAAAACTTGGTTTCCATTGTTTCCTCCACGATGCTCTGGGAACGGTGATAGGTGTTAGTGGATTTGCTCCCCGGGTGTGCTGGGTCCTGCTCATCCAGGCTCGTGAGAACTGCCAGAGCCATTGTTAAAACCGGAATTATATAAGCTTTAAACGAATTACATTAAATGGAAATTACTAACTGCTCAGACCTCAGCTCTACATTTTAGCATCATGTGTGCTCTTGAAGCTATTTGTATGTATGCATCTGTATGATGGGAATACTGTACAGTGGTGTGATATAATACAAATATTCGGTCTTTGTTCAGGGCACGGAACTCCTAAAAGCCGTGGAATGCTCTGAGTGATAAGAGTTTCGTTACTCTAACAAGCTCCTTTTGAGGTTTGAGTCTCGTCACTGTATGAATCAAGGAGATATATGCAGAAACACTCAAAGATGACTTTTCTATCTTCCCTAACTTTCTTCAAACAAAGAGAGGCCCTTTTGTGTAGTGATAGATGTGTAGAGATATAAAGTACACCCAACCACTTGTATTGGAGAACTGCAGCGTCTAACAGAAAAATCAGGCAGTAGCTCTACAAAGAGAAAGAAGCCGATTCATCCTGAAACTTGATTAGCAAATTTAAATTTCTTCCTAGGGTCTCAGTCGTTACAGTCTACAGCTCAGGTTCTCAAACATGGCATTGTATACTGATGGGTGTCAAAGTGTCCTTAAAACTGCTGACCTTGTATGAAAAGTACTATGTGTGCATGAATATTCATAGATTTCATCACAAATTCAATAGAGTCCATGACCCCAAATTTTTAATTCTGTGTTTTGAAAATTGGAATTGTGTTTGCCCATTGCTAATGTTCCAGGATTTCTCACCTCTTCTATGGTACTTCAAAGTTTATTAATGGAGGATGAATAATTCATCTCTAAGTTCTCTCATATAGTGGACTATAAGTCACCTAAGCAAAGAATTATTCAAATTTAGAGAAGATAGACACCTTTCTGGGATTTTCACGTTCTTTCCCTTTCAACAATCATTTTGCTTTAAAGAGGTAACAGTGGAGCATTATTTCCTGATAATCTTAAGTGTGTTTAAATGCTAATAAAGTCTCATATCAGGGTTTATATAGCATGATCTATTTTAAACTCCTATTTAGGAATATATGTAATATATTCATCTTGAAACTATTTAAACATATAAAGAAAATAGAAAACACAGTTGTAAATCCTGGCATTTTCACTTATTTTATGGTAAGTATATTCTATATTCTTAAAATTTCATGTATGTTGTTAACACACATAAATGTGTATGTATGTGTATATATATACTATAGATACATATCCACAGTTTCAAAGTGGCGACCAAGGCACACTGAGGTGGCACAACAAACTCATAGGGGTGTCCTCATATCCTTTTACATTTTTCATGGAATTGCAGCAATACTTGGTATGTTCTGGGCATTGAGTGAAACTCTAGCCTGAGGTAGTTCACCACTCCAACATCCTGTGACCTTGCTTTTGATGATGCCCTGTCTTTGTGAAGATGGGTTTTTGGTCACTATGATAAAAACAGTGTTGCATGGAAGCTGGAAAGAAAATGAGGATGGCAGTGTCAAATACAATTCCAAAATCTGGGAAGCTGTGCACTGCAAGTATGATCATCCCGTTACTGAATACTGTTATTTTAATTTTTAAAAATAAAAAAAAATCATTATTTTATTTTATATGTATTTTTCTCAAAAGGCTACCAAGCTGTTAGGACATACACACTTAGTTGTCTGGATCTATTACAGAATGGTCTAGGACAACTTTAAATTGTGGACAGTTTAATGAGACATGATGGGTTCCATGAAGTAAGTAAGATTGGAAACCTCTTGCTGAATAACATTCCATCCTAATTATTTCCCTGCTATCTCTTTTTGTTCATTTAGCATTATCCTTTTTCTCTTAGTATATTTAGCACTGTGATGAACATCTTACAGAACTCTTATCTCTACATATGAGTTACATTTTTGGTGGGCACTTTAAAGTGGAGTTGCTCTCTAAATAATTTATTAAAAAACATTAAATGCTGACCCATATAGTATGGGAATATACAGTTTTTATGGCACCAGTAGGATTGTTGGTTATTTTTTTATCTTTTATCATTTGAAAGATAAAAGACACCCTTTTATTTGTGGACAAACTCTTTAAAATATTCTATATTTTACTTTATTTCTTGTACAATAGTTATATTTGAGAATATAGAACTTGTCAAAAGAATAACTCTAATCATGAATGCATAAATAATTTAATATAAATCAGAACTTAGGAGTTCTCATTCAGTATTTTGTTATAAATACTAGGTAACCTGTGTTTGTAAAGTGCTGTACATTTTCAAGAATAGGTCATTTATAATTACCTACCAATGGCAAGATTACAACCTACCCTTACACTGGACTTGGTAGAGCCCTGATGACATGTAAATGGTCCCTTCTCTTCAAATGATTACTTTCGTATGAAGATTTCCAAACTATTTCAAATATGCATGATTGCAAATTTAAAAATGAATAAAAAGACATTAGTAAATTCAGTTTTGAAGTTGTACGTTAGTTTTTCTTTGGAGAGTAACCTGAAAATGGTGTAGGAAAGTTTGTGATCAACAGGAATGCACATAGTAGGAGGCTAAGTAGCGGCAAGTCACGTGCTCTCGGTTACCTCATAGTCCAAGTCCAGGTAGTCGAATTCCCCGTTGCTGCGGAAGTGCTGCACGCGCCGGTCCAGGGTGAGGTTGATGCTCCGGCCCTGGCGCTCGATGACCACGGAGTGCCAGTGGTGATCATCCAGCAGACTGCCCGTCCTCACGGACGTGTGGCCATTGATGGGGCCAAGCTGGTTGCTTCCTGGATCACAGGAGTGGAAAAGAAACAAGGCGATGACACCGTGCCACCTCCGCTTAGCAGGAAACCTGTCATTTACACTACCACGGCTGACCTCTGAAACTCTACTGACAGTAAGATGGGAAACCAGGATATAACTACACTTAAAACCAGCTCTGTATTCAAAATACATAAAAAGTTATTAAAGGTGGAAAAGAGTCTGCTCCTTTAAAAAGAGCCAAAATGAGTGTTGTCTGTATTTAAAGGGGCCATGAAATCGGTTAAGTTTGGTAGGCTCCTTATATTGCCAGTGCCCCATGGGCCCTGCAGCGAGAGTGCTGGCTGCACCCCGGGGCTTGCTCCCTGATCCTCGGGAAGTTGACAGCTCCTCTGGGCCTCTGTTTCTGTTTCTTCTTATGTAAAATGGAGTAAGTAACAGTACCTGCTTTACAAGGTTGCAGTGAGGATTAAATTAGTTAACACATGCAAAGAATTTAGTGTGCTTCCTGGCATATAGTGAACATTCATTAATGTTACCTGCTAACAGCTTTTTGCTATTGCTATTATTATTATTACTATTATTATTAGTCAAGAAAACCAGCATGACATTTTTCAGTTTTCTCTGACTCTAAAAAGCCATGCATAATCTTAAACCCAGTGTAATATTGAATGGCATGGAAAATTTACTCAAGTTATACTTTAAAATAAAGTCCTGCAAAAATATATACAAAGCATTAATCTAGTTTTGAAAGAAGATTTCCAGAGCAACAGAACAAGACTATAAGTAAGACTGAAACATTATGAGAATCCAAAACGTTTATCAAGGTCATTTCTGTATACTGTTTATATATTTTATACCACTTTCTATTTTCTCCAATCAAGCATTATTTTTTATGGTCAGGTAAAACTAACTGCAACAAAAATATACTATGGTTTCAGAATAAATAGCATAATAAAAATGAGAAACACATGATTGACTGGAGTATTAAATTTTTTTTTTTTCATTTTTGGAATGCTAATGATGCCCATACCTGACATTTTTCTACAGTTTCTTAAATCAAATTTTCTTCCCTTTTGGTGAGGAAATCAAATGTTGATGTGTGATTTTGACTGTGATCATGATTGTATATGAACATGGCATGAGGGAGCATGAAGAAAGAAAAGAAGAATAAATTTAAATAGAAGGCTACTCTCCATTTTATTACTTTAAGTGTTTAGACCGGAAGACTGCGTAGCAGAGAGATGTGCCTGATATTTAAGTAATGGCATTAAAGAATGACAGTGAACATCTGAGTGAATGTATTTCCAGTGAAGGGTAATGGTCTTTTCTGTGAGGTCATATGAGCAGGAACTTGTTTCAGGAAAGTAATGTCACACCTTTATAAAGCACAGTGGACATTAAATGTCTACTCTGTAAGTCTATTCTTTACAAGTCTACTTGATTCTTTTTTTTAAAAAAAGGAGAAATGTTTGAAAAAACAAACATCTTCAGATATAATCCAGTGCTCTGAGTGTGTGTGTGATGTCCATGCATATTTTTTAAGAGTACTTATTTTTTGTTTACTGATATCCCAGCCATCTCTCTTTATCTCTCATTGAATCTTTTCAAAAATGATTTAGGGCTATTTTTTCCCATGTAATACATGAATACATGTTCATTATTAAAAGTAGAGAATATTCTGAAGAATTCATATGTAAAATGTAATCACTCATTTCCACCACTAATAAGAGTTTGGTCCATTTCCTTCTGAACTTTTTACCATAAATATGCATTTAATTATATATATACAACTTATATGTACATATACTCAATGTGAAAATATTGATATATTTTTATACTACAGTTTTCATTTAACATTGCATAGTATTTTCCATATAATTAAAATTATTCAGACATTTTAAATGTATATGAACATATTTCTATATGTCTAACTGTTTTTGTTCAATTTTTGAGGTTGTAATTAAGATTGCAAAGTATATTCTTGCACTTCAATCCTGTAGTCATTTCTCATTATTTCATATGATTACTGGACTAAAATATATAGGTAATTTTATACATATGAAGGTCTATTGTCAAACTGTTTTCCTAAAAATATTTTCTGATATAAAGAACAAAGAACAAAGAATGATGTAGAGTGCAAAGAATTCTGTCACATATTCTCCAATACTGTTACTATTTTAAAGTTGATTTATTTACTTGACAAAAACTGGAATCGTTATTTCATGTGCATTTCTTTTATAGATATTTGTGATTGAGTATATGATTATAGAATGTTTATAATTTTTCCTCTGAGTTACCTTTATATCCTTTGCCTATATTTTCTCTTAAAGTTTTGATATTCTTATGAAGTGCTATGAATTCATAAACATGAATGACATTAAACTTCTGTATTTGACATTTGCATTTTCCTAAGTTTTTGTATGCATTCCAGTTTTAAGCTTATTTTAATGTAAAAAATGTAATGTATCTGTGTAATTCACTAATACAGTTTTTTTGTGATTTTGTTTCTTTTTTAATAGATGCTATTTCTATCAGATCAGATACTGAATGGGGAAAGTTTTGTAACAAAAGGTAAATCCTTGTAGGCACTGTATCAAGTACTACCAACAAAAAGACTAATTGAAATTATATTTTTTTAGTATAGTAATGATTTTCAAAGTCATAAAATTTAATTTAGGGGACGCAAGTCATATTTAGGAATGTTTGGACAAGCAAGTCAAAAAGACAGGATTGGTTTTTGTATTATGTTCTTCAGTTTCGAGCTTTCTATCAGGAGACATTTAACATGTGAATTTTAGTTATTAACATATTTTAGGTAACAAAATTTTTGTAGAACTCTAATACTATTAAAACAGGAAAATTTATGGAATGTATGATGCCCTTCAATTTCTGCACAAATTCTGGAATCTTTAGTCAAACAAGAGACTTAAAAACAACAGAGACCCCAAACAAAACAGGAACTCCTTCTTTGAGTTTACTTCATTCTCCAGAGAACATTTCATTGCTCTAATTCCTTCATTTCTAGTTTATTATATTTGCAATATTCATTTCTACATTCTCATCTTTTCTTAACCTATGACAGAAAAATTACTGTCCTTTCTGTCCCATTGAGAGTCAATCAACAGTAACCTCTACGTTACCTAAGCCAATATTCACTTTTCTGTCTTTATCTTATGTGACATTTTAGGTGAACTCGGCAGCTCTTTTCTTTCCCTGGTCTCTGTGAAACCACATATTCAGATTACTTCCTGTTCATTGTCCAATTCCGTCTGCATTTAGCGACCTTCTTCTCTAAACTCATCCGTGCTACTCCCTAGTAGAAAAGTCAAGTTTGATATCTAATGGGCAACTAAAATGTACCAGATCCAAACAAATCATATATAGGGTTCCTCTAGTAGAGGAAACTAATAGCCTTCTACTAGAATAAACTGTACAGAGAAAACAGAGTTTTCTCTACTTCTGAAAATGGCACTAATGTCCATCTGGAGTTCAAGCTCATACCCTATACATTATCCTCTATTCATTCTCTTTCTTATGCCACACCTAATCCATTACAAATCATGCTGAATTTATCACTAAAAGTGTCTCCTAAGTAGACCCATTTACCTGCATCTGCACTGACAGCCCCTGCCCGCAAGCCAGGGCCACCTCTCACTGTACTACACACACGTCCAGCTTAGACTCACACTAAGACAAACATTTGCTCTTACAAAAATCTCAGTAAACTTGTTATAATAAGATCATGATGCCTTATAGATTAAAGCCTCACAATGACTTGCCATTCTAAAAAAAATAATACCTAAACCTTTCCCATACTGTGCAGGATCTTACAGGATTTAAACAATCACTGACTTTCCGATTCCGTATTCTCTCCCACCTCCTCCTTCTGTCTATCCACAGCAGCCTCCTCCCTGTCCCTCGAGCATCCCAGGTCTTTGTCTTCAGTGATGCCTTCCTTTGAAAGGCCCTTCCTCCTGAGATGCTCATGGCTGGGTTTTGTCACTCAGATCTCAGCTTGAATATGTCTTATCCTGAAGGGTGTTTCCAATCCATAGTCTCATGTTGAACCCTCTTGCCCCTGAAGTATCCTTTATCATATCAGACTATTTTGTTGATTTTATACTACTTATCCTTATTTGAAGTCATTTCTTACAATTTAGTTGTTTTAAAATAATAGATAATATATCGTCCAACTTCTCCACTAGGTCATAAACTTCATGAACTTAAGGCCCTTCTACGTTTGTTCACTACTGTGATGCCAGCATAGTACCCTGCGTAGTACAGATGTTTGATAAATAATTTTAATAAGCTTCTCAATAACTGAAAATGAACTGACAGCGTAATGTGAACTCTATTTATAATTTACATTTTGAGGATAAGCAACATTAGCCTTTTATTAATGGACTACTAATAAAAGGAAAGAACAATGCCAAAAGGCAGAACATACCTAGGTTTAAGCTGAAGACCAGCTTGGCTTTTTTTAGTTCCAAAGTAATGTAATCCCCTTGCTGTCCTTCTCCATGCAAGATGACCCCTTCACTTTCAGAGGTTTTAAACTTCAAGGCAATGACATCCTTCAGTGTTTTCATCTTCTTGTTTCTGAATCTATATGGTAACACAACATGGCCATCAAAGTTGATAACATCAGCCCCTAAAAGAAGAAATAAATAACATTTTAGTTCCACTATTGTAGGTCACAAGCCAGTGTGAAATATATCCACTTCCAATGGATGTGGGCCTGCTGCACAATATATATGAGTAAGAAGTGACCTTTTTCCTGAAAAAATCTGGAGTTCTGTGTTGTTGTTCCATTTCTTCTTTTGGTTTATTGTGTGTCCTGAAGTGGATTTTATGAGGAATATTAACAAAGAATGATCAGAGAGACCTTTATCAATATAAATCTTACTTCAACTGCAATGCTAACAAATTCCATCAGTGAGTTAGGGCTTCAGATTTCAACTTGAGAGTATGGAGTTTACTTTAAAAAGTAAATTTTTTAATCCCTGAGGTATTATGACATTTCAGTATTTTCCTCCTTAAATAAGATTAATTCTACATGATTTTGAAAAATACATTTTGCTTACAAATTTGCCTTTTTCAACATAAAAATGAATCTTGGAATGCAGCATTTGATGGCATACTCATGTTTCTAATGGTTTCTATATTCCACTAGGCTTTTAGTAAACTTTGTTAGCATGCAGAATTTACAGCTAATTGAACTTTAAAAAGCTCCTTACCATTCGCTCCTGGGCTGCATGTCTGCTTCAAATTCCTCGTCTGCCCCTCACCTATGAATAGAGAAGTGGGCTGCCCATGTTTTTGATTATGCTAAACAAAGACATCTGCACCCATATATGAGTTAGAAGAATAACTAGCCTGTTCTGTAACTGTAACAGTTCTCACCTGTAGGGAATTTCACTGAAGACAGGAAATTATCTGAAATTTTCAGAAGTTTGAACAGTTTTGTCACCATCCTCATAAATAGGTGATGGTAGGGATTAGTTTCAAAACTGCTACTTATTCCCACCAGATATAGAAAATGAGAGGATCTCAGTGATTATACACCATTGGTTAATGGGTTACAACCTGTGCACTCCAAGATAAACTGCCATCATGCAGATCAAATTCTGAACACAAACAGAAGCTTAGTTACCATTAGACTCTTATCATTATAAATATGTTTAAAAACATTTCCTTTGGCTTCTAAGTAGAAATCATAAAAAACGTAGTCAAACTGGAAGAGCTCTAATTACCTTAGAATTACAAACCCGGATGAAGCCTGCCTCTCAGTTTGGGGCAGTCTTGATAAAGAACTCCACAGGGAAATACTGGAGAAAACTAATAGCAAGTTTAAAGTCTGTCAGAGAACTATTTTTCTCATCTCATGTCTTAGTTCTCTGGCATGTCTTCACTTTAATCATCCAGGAAATATTTTGGTTCTCCCGTAACAAGGGCAGGCTACCCAAGGTAGCTTCCATCGAGGTGTAGAGCTACGATAGTTGCATTTACTCTTTTTCCTTTCTTTTGCACTGCTTGACAAGCTTTGCTCTCTTCTAATTGTATCAAGTGAACTGTCACGAATATACTTACTTGAAATCTCACTTAAAAGTAAAATTAAGCTTTCCTTTCAAATCATTGATGGACTTGAAATGCTTTAAAAATATGTATCCTATTATCTCAAGTATTCATGTTTTTAAATGATAGTTTAGAGAATTGTTGCATTCTAAAAAGTTCAGAAAGAAAAACACAACTTTGCACTTTAAAGTTTAATTCTTACAGTCAATTCTTTATGGCCCATAAAAAGACGTTCTTAATGAACAAAATTCTGTTCTCTGAAACTGAATCACAGAAGTTTATTTTACTATGGGGGAAAAAGTCGCCTTCAAGTTTTGGCTTCTCCTAACACTGTGAAACCAATTACTCTTTAGCTTAATCATCTATTCTGTTACAGCTGAATTCTACTCACGATATCTTTATCATCTGTGATGAGAGATAAAAGAGAGATAAAGTGGAATCTGATTATCAGATCCCAGGTTACATTTATAACCCTGCAGTTGGCAGAAATTACTTTTTGTCTTGAAAAGTGCATAATCCAAGTCAGAAGGAGGGAGTAACTTCTGAACTCTAGAACATAATTTTGCAGTCAATTTCCTATCAGTGACAGTTGAATAATAGACACATCACTGTTTTATATACCTTCAATATATATTAATTGACATAAAATATTCTCATTCATCTCTCAGGAAGTAAATGTTCCCTAAGCTTAGATAGAGGGAAGATTTTGCCCCTTCTATAACTTCTCCTAAATCAAAATCTATATTCCGCTCCAGGTACATAAGAGTGACTTATGCAAATGCTGATGCCTTTCTTTCCTTACTTTTAGTGCAATGGAAAAAGTGATGGAAAGGATGGGTATGATTTATTCCCACAGACAGTTCTAGGATATTAAAAACATATATGAAAGAACACTGTGTGGACCAAGCATCTTCTTACAAATGGTTAAGTGGTCAGTGGTCAGTTATTAGTTTCAGCTGAGATACTAATGAAATGCTCTGCAAGCTAGACTTTTCACACTATGAAATAAAGTTGTTCTATGAATGAGTAAATGCTTGTATAATATCAGCATGTGGATGAGAGCTTAGAATTAGCTTCAAAATTATAAAATTCCTAGAAATGATCTATGATACGTAGTTTATACATAAACACATATAATATAATTTTAAGAGTCTGTGATATTGTAAAATCCATCAGAATTTTGCTCTATTTCCTACAAAAGTACATTAACATTTCATTTGATATCTAATAATATGTTGTGCTTATTTTGGGACAAACCACCTTTTTTCTCCCCTATTACCCTGATTTCTTATCACCCCCTAGAATTAAGTTTCCTATGCAGTGATTAAATATGTATGGTTGAACTGTTTAAGCAATCTGAACAATAATGGCTAGTCAAAAAGTGAATGGAAAATCACAGGACTTCTACAATTTTGTTTCTAACAATAACTCAGAAAGCTGGTAATGTGCCCAATTCATCAAATTGTCTTTCTGAGTCTGGATATTTTGGGGAAGTGTTCACCATCTAAAATATTAATATTTTAAAAAATACCTTAACTGTCTCTTTTAGTACAAATGTAATAAAAGCTTATTGTTGAAAGGAAGTTTAACAATAGAGAAGCGCAGAGTGGAGCTACTGTCACTGCCGCTTGGGGAGAATACCACGGAATTGCGGCGTCCTGCTCATCACCTCCCTCGCCGGGGAAGCACCGTTCCAACATGACTTCCCACTAGTGGTGCTGCGAAGTTTCTTCACTATGAAGTTACTGTTTTTCCCTTTCTGTACTCAATTCTGTGGAAATGAGTCACCGTAATATGGCCCCTACTTGAGGAGAATTTAGCGCCACCTCCTGGAGTGCGGAATTCTTGTGTAAGGAAGATTTGTCCATTCATTCATTCAATCATTGTGGAATTCTGTATGTTTATTTTATTCTTTGAGTTTAAATACAACATGATCATTATTCAAATCATTCCAGCTTTAGCCACTGGGAGGCTCTTTCTGGTTGGCTCCTGGGTGTCCTTGCCAAGGCGCCACCACTGCCTCCTCAGTTCTCTTCTGTCCTCTCCTTTCCCCTCCCCATCTCTCTGCTCTTCTCTCTCCTCCATGGGTCTCTCTGTTTCTCTCTGTCTCTCTCTCTCACTTTCTGGCGCTATAAGATGCTCTAAGCTCATCATGCCCAGACCTAGAATCAGCCATTTTTCCAAGGAGTCCTCATTTCTTCTATTGTAGGGTGGTATTGACAAGGTTTAAGGTTGTTTTTAATTTGTATGCTTTGCTTTATACAAAGCACACAATGAATTTGCTATTAGTAAACACAATTTTATACTACCTATTTGATAAATTCTTCCACACAAATAATTACTGAGAGAAAAAGAGGACAAAAAAAGACCTTTCTTAGTAATCTGTTTCATAAGGATTTGCTATGATTTTGAAGTTCTTTGCAATTTAATCTAATGTTTTTACATAAACAGTGACTTTCAAAGGCAGTTACAATTATTAATATTTAAGTGTTTACTGATTACTATGTAAATACATTAAAGTGACTATTCATATTTATTTGGTAATGCATAAGGTTTAATATTTTAAAATATTTATCATAAAATTAATAAGTACTCCCTGTAAAAATTTCATATCATAAGAAAGCAAAACTAAGTCATTTAAAATTATTTACAATTACACATAGGCATCAAAATACTGTTAATGTTTTTCTCTATATATTATTTCAGTATTTTTTTCTGTTATGAAGTGTTTTCATGAAATTTTTAATAGCTGCATAATATTCCATTTTACATATGAGCTTCAGATTTAAAAGAATTTCCTATTTTGCACACTATTTATTAAACCAAAATTATTTGCAGTTTTCAACAAATCCAAACATTTCTATGAAGACCATCTAGTAGTTAGATTCTTGAGCACTTTGACAATTATTTTCTTTCTTTAAATTTCTAAGTGGTTGCTCTTATGAAGATACTGGTAAAGCATATGAATAACTTAGTACAGAATTTAACATTATATAATTTATATAAATAAATATCCGAGTCACTTTCAAGAATTTTACATATATTTAAAGTTTAAAAATTATACAAGGTGGAATTTGCCAAGTTTTGTAAATGTTACAGAAATGCAAATCAATGTATTCTTTTCTTTAATGTCAGATGTTGACCATTCTTCACAAAATAGTTATTTGTCACCCTATCTACTCAGTCACTTCTACTTTTCTTCATAACATTTATCCCTACCTGACATATTTAAATGCTTATATATTGTAGTATGTTTCCGTCTCTGAAAATGTATGCATGAGATATTTGTTTTGCTCCATCCTGAAGCCCAGTACTTATAACAGTGTCAGAGAAACAGTCAATACTCAAAGTATTTGTTGAATGATTGCATGTTGTCTCTCATATTTTAATAAGCTCGAATTAAGTGTAATAAACACTGTTATATTTCTTTTTCATTAAAAATTAGAATCACTAGATTGGAAGAAATTTTGAGAATCGTTCTGATATACCTTTGTGCCACAACTACTCATATATCCAAGGTTTAATTGTCAGAGAAAAACAATGGTAATGTCAGGCTACTATTTTTTTTGTGTGTGT